ACCTCGAATTAGGTACATGTTTATCAAGCTAGTTCAGAAATTACATTGGGTTCATCATGCGGTGAGGGTGTTCACCTTTGGTCAATAAAGTTTTACCTCTAATAAACCCAAACTGCCCAACTTACATCCTTAATCTGTGCTTTATGGAATATTTCTCCTAACATGTCTAGACAACAAAGATTTAATATGTTGTGAATCATGATAAACATTTTCTGCACCATATAAAAACGACTCACTTGGTTCCTAAAGTTGTAGAGCATCTTACTAAATTAGGATACAATCAGTCTCAAATAAAAAATGTCAAAGATTGAGAATAGTATATAGAACACCAATGAGAAAATTCTCAAAATAATGGTTCCAATAAATTTCTCTAATTTTACAATTCACCTTCAAGGATTTAGCTACATCTTAAATTGCATCAAAACATAATCTGCTATTTTTTAACTATTAATACATACAAATAGACTAAAGATTTAATGATGTTTTAGCATTTGGGGTTAGTAGAAAAAAATTGTTAGAGCACAAAGCGTGTTGTACTGCATCACAAACTAATAAATTTCATATTGTCGCTCAAATGCATTAAAAGGGAGGGGGGAAAAACACTCCAGAAAACTGAAATAAGCTGCACTTATTGTAACCTAAAGCATATCCAAAACGCCAAATTCACCAAGACTGACTACCAGTTTGGAACTAGGTTTCCAGGATCATCCCCAGATAAACTACTAATCCAGACACTAGACTAAATCCGTACCATGGATTAAGAAATGAAGCGGCTTTCCATCTACCGGAGCCTAGAGGCACTCAAGAAGGAACACATTCAGAAACCCTAGGCAAAAAACCAGTTCACAGCGAGCAATAAAGAAGCCAAAAAAAAAAAAGACGAGGACGAGAATCACCTGTCGGCACCACTTGGCGAGCACATGGAGGCGGAGCATCCGCTGCCGAGTCTTGGCGATGAACTTGAGGAGGTCTATCTTCTTCTCGGAGTCGGATCGCTGGTCCTCCGGCGCCCGGGACCGCTCCACCAGCTCTTTGAGGGCGAGGTAGGAATCCTCCGCGGCTCGTCGCACAAGGGCGGAGAACTCCACCGTCTGCTGCCCCAGTTCCGCCGCCATCGCCCTCCGCTCCGGCGCCCAAAGTGTGGGGCGGAGGGGGGGCGCGCTAGGGTTTCGACGGCCGGGCTCGAATCCGGGCGCCGCGGGTGCAAAGCGAAGGAAGGCGAGATCGAATTCGCAGCTCCAATTGATGTTTTCTGGCGTTCGAGGGCGGAGGAAGCGACCAAATACAGTGTGCAAAGACCGGAGAGAGAGAGAGAGGATCCGCGACCCGCACGGAGAGAAAGGCAGTCTATTTGGAGCGTGCGGGTTTGGGCTTACGACAAACAGGAATGGGGGAAAGGGTTGGTTGGTCCACATGTGATCTATGTGGCCGCAACTTCATCATAAAAATATTTTTCTTACATCTGAGTTAATACTCGCAAATAATACCTGCTATGCAATTGGAGGAAAACAGTGGGTCCGTAAGAAGCTCAGTATAATCTCAAACGATAACGAGGGCAGACTTCATGTCTCAAATTAACCGGTGGGGAAATCATTTCTTTTGTTTTGCCCCCAGATAAATATTTCTTATCTACTACACGTCGCACTACGTGACTCACCCTCGCACCCCATCTCTCTCATGGGCTCCACGTGTCATCTCCAGTTTCGTTCGGCCAAGCGGGGCTCCGAAAGAGCTGGGTGCGTGAAATATTTGGACTCTGCCTGGTTGACAAGACTGAATCAATCCTGAAACTGGGATAGTTGATTTGTGGACACGTGTACGTGGATCTCACCATCGGGCATGACGTGGTATCTTGTGGAGTACGTTTCACCTTAAACATTTGAGGCATAATTTATCGATTTGGAAATGAATATAAAAATACCCATTTTCAATATAAATTATCTAAAATAAAAGAAAAGAATGTGTCGTATTGTCACGGACTTAGCTGGTTTTGCTTAAATCGTGTGGCACCCTTGCGTGTCCATTCGCAAAGGTCAGCCTCCTATAGTCCCTTAGGACTCATAAAAGAGAAACCGGGTTAGGGAAAACGTCTCACTCGGGATCCACAAGCAAACATTTCCGAAAACACTTCATAGACAATGCAAATTACAAATAGACTTTACAAGCTCTGAACAGTTACACAACAAAGGGGTAAAATGGTCTATTACAGACCAAAAATCTCTCACACGTGTCCACACGACACAACCTATATTTACAAGCCTAAAGAGGCTACCAAACCCAACTAAAATGGGATTATCAAGCCTTTGGCCGTCCCTCTATGCTATTCAAAGCATAAACAAATAGAAAGACACGGACATACACAAGTATTACATCAAACATCCTGTTTAGAACTTTGTCTGTGACATTCTCCCCCACTTATGCCTTCGACGTCCTCGTCGAAGCCTTTGTCGACACTGCAACTCCTCGCCTTTGATGAGTCTTCAATCTTCTGCTCCAGCTGCAATGCGTCTCTTGGCTCCCAGCTACTCTCTGTTATTGCTTTTTTTTTTAGTAGTCGAACCTTTGATCCGCCATGCTGCTTCAACTCGCCAATGACTCTAACTATAGTGTGGGGTTGGCTGAGTTGTGTTGATCTCTGTTGGTTCCTACTGATCCTCCAGATAAAGGAAAAGACCATCCTTACAATGCGCCAGTCTTTCAAATGCCTCATGCTACTTGAACTGGGTGGATGCTTGTTGGAGCTTTAATGAGCATCGCCCCGCAAACTTCTAAAGTTTTGGATCCTTCCTCCATGATATTTGCCCATTGACTCTTCCTTCACTTAGTTGTCACCTCCAAGTAGGTTCGCATCACTTCCGCTTTCGATTGGCATTTCGTTGAGAAATTAAGCGGACAATCTACTCTCAGTATGACAGAATGAAATTATAGAGAAAGTGAGAGCACTAATAGAGATAAATAAAAAAGGATAAAAAAAAAACAAAGCCTAAGCTTTTCGTATAAATTTGTCCAAAATTCTGTCCTACGAGACTACTCTTTCTTACATGTCTACATGTAAAAAAGTTCAACTTTCAATGCATTTGTCGATATCCGTGATGAGTATTCACGAAAATTTTGAAGAGTGTATCTATAATTCAAGGGAAAAAAGAATATAAGTCAAATCATGTCTTCTTTAATAGCCTTAGAGAAAAGAATGATAGATGAAGAAGAAGAAGACAATGAACTAATGAAGACTTTGTATATGTCATCGTTAAAAATATATCTACGTCAAATATTCGCTCGCTAATTTAAGAACGTCTAACATAATTACATGATAAATTTATACAACACAATAACACTTGCATATATATATATATATATATATATATATATATATATCCATGCATGCATTCGGACGAGATGAAGTGTCCAATTATTACGGAACCGAGTCCACTCCTGCAGAGTCAATCGCAAACGATCATCAATTGTCCATGTCCACATTCCGATCGTGCGGACACTATGAGTGATCTGACACGTGAACTGTTTCTGATAACCATCTTCGTTTGACTAACCAAAACATCATTCCCATTACTTAATACTTCCACCCCACTTGATTTGCGTAGCATGTAGAGTCGGAATCACAAAACACGTCAACAAAATATTAACTCAACGGAATCATTACTTTATCGAACCCGACCATAAAGCACAAAAGACTGAGTCAACAAATCGTTATTTCGTTTCCCTAATTCAACATATATATATATATATATATATATATATATATATATATATATATATATATATATATATATATATATATCAGCCATACTATAAAGTTCGGATGATGTTACATATATCTCAAAGCGTTTCAACAGAAACAAAGATAGCTTAGCATGTCGTTGATGTTCGCCGCGACGTGGCTGACTTGCCGTTGGACCCGTGTCATCCTGTAGTAGTACTGAGCTGATGTCATGTTTGATGACGGTGAGGTACTAACTTAGCAGTTCGTCTTGTACGAAAGATGAAAGCTGTGACAGTCAGGCGATACGATGCTTTGGAACCTCTTGACAAATATAAAATTTAAAAAAAGATTGTCACTTGTAGTGAAATTAAGATAGAAATAGGTTAACCTTTGCTAGTAATCCGATCAATTATTATAAATCTAAGATAAGTACATCTCGATTATCGTGTGAACTTTTTTTGGTTTACATCTATTCGCCTGTTACGAAAGAATCGTCACTGATGATCTGATCAAAGTATACAATCAGCTGTCCTCGGAGGGCCGCGATTTCGAGATTGTCTTCGTGTCATGTGATTCATGCGAGGAGACCTTTAATAGGTACTTCTCAGATATGCCTTGGTTGGCAGTCCCATTTGCGGACTCCGACACACGCGAAAGGCTACATGATCATTTCGGCAGTTTCGAGGAGTATTATCCCGCTCAGCTTATCATCTATGATGCCTCTATTGGCATGGTCGTTAACGAAGAAGGTCTCCGAGCTGTGGCAAAATATGGTGTAAACGGGTATCCATTTACTGTTAAGAGGTTCTACGAGTTGGAGGCGGCTGCTAAGAAGGAACGGAGTCTTCGAAGTCTGTTGGTTTCGCCGTCCCGGGACTACTTGATCTCCAATGATGGATCCAAGGTAATCGATGATCTCCTTGTAGGAAGAGAATTAAACTACATTCTTGATCCACCAGCTTACTACCACCATCTAATCTACGCTAAATTGAAGCAGGTTGCCGTGTCGGATCTCGAAGGAAAGATTGTGGCTTTTTACTTCTGGTATAATATTCCTGATAAATACGGCCGTCCCAATAAGTTGACTCTGGTGCTGGCTGAAATCTATAGGAAGCTTAAGGAAGCCGGGGAGAGCTTCGAAGTTGTGCTGGTGCCATTAGATGATGATAAATCATCCTATGAACAAGGCCTGGCAAGCATGCCATGGCTCGCGATTCCTTTCGAAGACGAGGGCTGTGAGAAGCTTGTCCGCTACTTTGAGCTCTGGCCCTTCCAATTACCAACCGTGCTTGTGATCGGTGCCGATGGGAAGATTATGCTTAAAAATTACGATAGGCTCATCTCCAAGTATGGAGTTTTAGCATGGGAAGCATTCCCGTTCTCTAAGGAGCAACTGGATTTATTGCCAGAGAAGGCAAAGGCTGCACAAACACTGGAATCTCTTCTTGTTGCTGGGGACCTCGATTATGTCATTGGGAAAGAAGGCTTGAAGGTAATGAATTGAGCATATAGTGAATCCACAGCTTGGTATTGTCAATGGCTAAGCCCTCATCATTGTGTTTGACAGGTTCCAGTGAAGGAGCTTGTTGGCAAGACCATCCTCTTCTTCTTTGCAATGAGTGATTCGTTTCATTGCCAGAAATTTCTTCCCAAGCTGATCGAGGCATATCACAAGATCAAGCGCATGGACAGTGCTTTCGAGGTGATCTTCGTCCCTATGGGCTATATGGATTCGGGTGCTTTTGAGTTCTTCTTTCGCATGCCTTGGTTGGCGGTGCCGGTGGATGATGACAGAATAGGATCTTTGGAGAACACTTTAGAAGCTCATTACGTCAACACCCTGGTTGTCATTGGTCCTACAGGTCAAACGATCACAAAGAACGCCGCAACTTCGTTGAAGATGTATGGAGCCGATGCCTACCCGTTCAGTGAAGAGAGGATCAAGGAGGTAGAGATGGCACAAACATTGGAATCTCTTCTTGTTGCTGGGGACCTTGATTATGTAATTGGGAAAGAAGGGTTGAAGGTAATGAATTGATCATATAGTGAATCCACAGATGGGCATTGTCGATGGCTTAATCTCTCATCATTGTGCTTCACAGGTTCCGGTGAAGGAGCTTGTTGGCAAGACCATCCTCCTCTTCTTCTCGATTCGCAGGTCCGGTACATGTCGTGGATTTCTTACCCATCTGATCGAGGAATATCACAAGATCAAGCACATGGATAGTGCTTTCGAGGTGGTCAACATCTCGATGGACAAGGATCAGGATTCCTTTGAGGAGTTCTTCTCCGGCATGCCTTGGTTGTCGCTGCCATTCGGTGATGAGAGGAAGAAATCTTTGAAACGTACTTTCCAAGCCGATATCATCTACCCCTCCCTGGTTGCCATTGGTCCTACAGGTCGAACTAGCACAAGGAACGCCATGCATTCGTTGGCGACCCATGGAGCCGATGCCTACCCGTTCAGCGAAGAGAGGATCAAGGAGTTGGACCAGAAGATAGACGAGATGGCAAAAGGATGGCCTGAGAAGAGGAAGCATGAGCAACACAAGCATGGGAAGTTGGAGTGGAGCTGCCTGCATGGCCTGTATATGTGTCGTGACTGCCACAAGATTGGAAGTGGATGGTGCTACTTGTGCTCCATGTGCAGTTTCGGTCTCCACCCCAAATGTGCACCGAAGGAGGAGAAGAAGGAGGAGGAAGAACATGATGAAGGATCTGAGTGTGATGGAGAGGTTTACAACGATTTCGAAGATTCTGAAGATTCTGAAGATTCCGAAGATTTCGAAGATTCTGAGGATTCTGAATAAGAATAAGAATATGTAATGCAATGGTGTTTGTGTTTTGATGGGAAGAGCTTTAGATCGATGCAATGAAAGTAGCCGCATTATGATCGTCGGCAACTCGCAACATTTTTTGTTGACGAAAATCTTTTCTTATTTGCTCCATATGATCAATCAAGCTTCATAATAACAGCACCAATTCAACAAACATATTTGAGCCACAAAGACCAAAAAATAAGAATGTATAATTCATGGCAACAAAGACGAGAAAAAATCAGCAGTGCTTCCGTAACTACGTATCTGTAATGATTGCTCTTCTCTTCCACCAGTATGCAGAGTATAAGACAAAGTGTATGGTGTATCCTCTCGTCTCTTCCCGATTGGATATAGCTACAATGTGTAAATATATTCATACGTGATGCGGTGCACTCAGAAGGTGTTAATGCAATGCATCGGACTGGTTCTGTAGTCATGTTTGTTTCTTGGTTCTGTAGTCATGTTTGTTTCTTTTAATTGACTCCAAAATGCAATGCACTCAGTCTTTTAATGTACTCCAAAATGTAATTCACTCAGAAGACAAACGAACGGATGATCTACCAAAGTAAATGCACAAGATAATTAATTTACTTGTCCAATGAGAAGTATTTAAATTGACACATGATTTCAATTGTTTTGGATGTCAACCATGATTTCTTCTATTTGATATATCAGGAAATTGGGAAGCGAGGAAATACAATCTCAGGGAAATACATTTTCTTTTAATAGAAACTTTATAGTTGATAAATTGCTTTCCTAATTTGTTGACGTAGATATGAACCTGATACAGTTGCTGCTTCCCCGATTTTTTGTTGCACTGGATTGCTGGTTTATACCCTATGTCCCTTCTGAGGATATCGAAGATACGATTCTTTTCATACATGCGGTTATTAGGAAAAATACCTTCCGCCTTTAGACAAGAGAGAATATCAACATTTTTCTTGAGGTTGAGGGCTGCTGTGAAATAAGAAACTTGATCGAACCTAGATAAGGAACATGTGCCGTGCTTATCCCATTCATATTGCCAGAACGAGTGGCCATCGCTATTGGGACAGCGAAAACTGTGCTAGTGTTGAATCATCTCGCCAATCAAAGGCAATCGAAGACAAAGATAAAAAAAAACGATGAACGACTCACACTCTCATTTTGCAAGGTACCTTTACGATAGAGTAGTCTGTGTCAGAGCCAAACATACCTTACGTCGGTTGTATTTAGAAGCTGACGGCATATTCTTGTCACAAGATGGAAACATTCCATTGCGAAAAGCGGGCCAAAGGCCATGGATGGTAAAATTTTTTTCTGGATACCCCGTACTCATAGGACAGCAACGGTTGACGTTGCAAAATGATCCGGGCCACTAGATGTTTCAAATCAAACGATCAATATAGAGAAGAACAACAAGATAGAAAAAAAATTAGACTTACCTAAAGAACCAAGTGAAAATTATCATAATTGGACGCAGCAGTGGTGGAGAAATCAGCAAGAAAGCAGTGGTGGAGAAAACCAGCAAAAAAGGGAGGACAAGTGATGTCATGCTTAAGCGAGTTAGGCTTCTGGGCACGTCGGAAGGCTTCTCCTTTTTTGTATGTGATCATCATAAGATTGCATAAATATTACTGGTTAGCATGCCTGAGGTGAGTTTAATTAATTATCTATAAGATAGATGCATAATTGAAAGAGAAAGAAGAAAAAAAATAACTTAGGTTGGGTTTAATTATCTATAGATCATATGCATGTGCTGCAGAGCGAAGATGGTAGCTCTGAAGTACATGTTTCTTTCTATGCAGTGAGAGATATTCTTCTGCAGAGAGAAAATAGTCATCTCTCCTAGAAATAGAGAAAGACAGTTGGCTTTGAATCATCAAAGATTGAACTCCTGCGGGAGCTGCTCCATGAGAAGAGAAGCTTGATCTTGTATCTCGGGGACGAACGGGGATCCTTGCTATCCGTCCGCCCCGAGCTCTCCTTTTGACTTACGGACTTCCTATTGTACTTCGTCGAGTCGTTGACTAACGAGGCGCAACTGGGCCCGCAGGGCATTTGTCGAGTCGACAGATGGAGCGTCGGGCTCGGGGCGAGTCGCCGTGTCTTCCGCCTCCCGATTCCCGGGTTGGGCTATCGGATTCCGAGGCGGAGTGGGGAGCTCGGGAAGTGGCACATAAGTCCTAGTGGGGGCCTCCTGTTGTTGCAAAGGTCGGGTCATATGCGGGGGTGTCAGTTGGGAGACGAGCGGGATAATGGTCTGCACCATGCCCGTCAGAGCTCGGACTTTATGAGCGAGGTCGTGAAAGGCCTCGGATGATACCGGCGACGGGCCTGTGTGTGCGCCATCGGGAGGTGACAAGCCTGGGTCGTTAAACAACTGCCAGTAGCGTTCTGACGTTGCGACGAGATGTTCGTCTCGGGATCCATCGTGTGGGGGGTGTTCCCCCGGGGTGGTGATCGTGGGTGGTCCGATAGCCGCGGGTTCGTCAGAGTGGATTCGCAGATCGTTCGACATTCAGACAGGCCCTCCTTCTAGCGCCAATCTGTTGGTGTAAACAACTTTTTTAGCCATGGCCTTGGGGCCGACGCGGCTTGTTCGGGGAGTCCGAATGGCGGGGATCTTACGTGGCGTCCCTTGAGGTCTCCCGGCGGCCGGTCACGGTGGTCGAGTCGGGATGTCACGTCGGGTGGAGAGCTTTGCCGCAGCGTCGGGAAGAGGCGACGTCGTCTCGCACCTGCACACAGGTCGGGTCGGAAGCTCGGCCCGACCCCTCCGACGATCAAGTCAGCGATGTGGAGAAGGTTTTGGAGGAAGAGATGCCTCCGAGTGCGTTGTGCTTGTCTTTTCTCCCCTTGTTCGTTTAGAACTCTGGGGTATTTATAGATGAGTTTGATGTTACCTGATGTGGCTGCCAGCAGGAGCAGGACCGTACCTCCGATGGCGTCTGACATCGCCACTGGGGTTGCGTGGAAAACCGAACTGTCGTAGGGTATGGGCGAGCTTCGGCCGACGTCCCCCTCTACCTCGGCCGAGCGCGCGGGGTCAGACGGTTCAGTCATTGTCTGGGAGCGGGTGACGCTGGCGCATATCAAGTCGGCGTTAATACGCATTTCCTCGGGTAGGACGTCGCCCAGGTATGACTGACGTCATGGCGCATTACATCACCATTTTTACCCTTATCAATGGGGATAGTTGATTTGTGGACACGTGTATTTGGATTTCACCATCGGGCATGAAGTGACTCTTACGTTAACACGTCTTGCTTATTGCGCCTGCACCAACTGAACTCTCCCTGAACCGACTCTCATAACTTCAGTGACCCCGGAGAAAGATAGAGGGCGAATCACGAAAAGGTGGCGGAAACAACTAAGAAATCCGTCTTGTCCTCAAGCCCAGAGTAGCGAGTCAACCTCTGCTAATGCAATAATGTAATAACTTATTATATCGATTTGGAAATGAATACAAAAATACCCATTTTCAATATAAAATCTCTAAAATATAAGAAAAGAATGTGTCGTATGATAAAAAGATACATCATAATGAGAAATAATGACACTTTCTAGAACTTAACGGGGAATAATTTCATCATAATGGAAAATAATGACACTTTCTAGAACTTAACGGGGAATAATTTTCCATAAGAGCGAACGCTGCATGATATATAATGGGTGCTAAGCCTTATATATGAGCTCTATAACGTGGAGGAACGCTGATCTCTCTCTTCTCCTCCTTGTGCAATCTTCTGCCCTTTAGAGGTACGCCGATCTCTCTCTTCTCCTCTAGTTTCCCTCTCAATTGTGTTCTGTTCGTTCTTTCTCGAGTTTGATTTATCAGATTTATAAATTTTGATTCTTGATTATTGTTTTCAACTTGATTAATGTTTTCAACTTGATTAAAGAAAAAGTAACACATAAAAACTAAATCAACTTCAACTACTATCTTGATGCAATAACAAGATGATAATGCTTAACCATCTTGCTAAATGGGGCTGC